GGAGCATACCTTCTTTGAGCCTACCCGCATCACACATGCATCAGCGACCTGTTTAGATAATATTTTTTGTAATAGAAATGTTTTTAATAAATCAATAATAAATTGTATTAATTCTGATCATAGCGGACAATTAGCCTCTATTGAACACCATCATGCTTCACCCAAACATGACCTAACTTGTAGACCAATTACACAAACGGGTATAAATAAATTTCAAGATAGCGTTTATCACAAAATATCGTACTTACCAGTTTATAGTAATAATAATATTTTGTATGAAGATTTATTCAATTAATTTAAATATGAATTTAATATAATATTCAAACGCAAAGTTATTAAATGCCATAGCTTTAAAAAGAAATTTAGTGATTGGGCCACACCGGGTATTTACAAAAGTAGAAATAAGTTGTATCAATTATATGCTCTCAAGGCAACCTCATCTGATCCTAAGTTTATAGAATATGTCAAAAACTATTCAAAAACTTTTAAAAAGGTGTGTGCCATAGCAAAAGCTAAGTTTTTATCAAAAAAAATTAGTCTTTCCGATAATAAAATAAAGACAACTTGGAATATAATTAATAATGAAACTGGAAGAAATAAATTTAATGAACACACATATTCTTTAAAAATAGACAATAAGATTATTAGGACAGATGATGCCGTTGCAAACACTTTTGAAAATTTCTTTTCTAGTGCACCATTGGAAACAACTAGAAATCTTAATTCTTGTTCTAGGTTAGCAATGACCCTCCTTGAGTCAAGTGTTGATAAGTGCAGTAATGATTTTCATTTTAGACATATCAGTAGTGACTGTATTATAAAAACTTTTAACTCAATTAAAATTAAAAAGACAGAGGATTATTGGGGAATATCAACATATATAATAAAACCGATTATCACTGTTATTGCGCCACAACTGGCCATTATATTTAACAAATGTATTGATGAGGGAGTGTTTCCAGATCTAATGAAATGTGCTAAAGTTATCCCTCTCTTTAAGGCTGGTGACAAATCAGATCCCAGCAATTTTAGGCCTATATCTGTATTACCAGCGCTAAGTATTTGAGAAAATAATTTATAACCAATTACTAGCACACTTTTCTATAAATAAGCTATTTCATTTAAAACAGTTTGGTTTCACTAGAGGCAAAAGTACTACTGATGCTGGAACTGCACTTCTCAAACACATCTTTGATATATGGGAGAGTAAGCACGATGCTATTGGCATTTTTTGCGACTTATCAAAGGCGTTTGACTGCGTTAGCCATGAAACATTGTTAAATAAAATGAAGCATTATGGTGTATCAAATATTTCACTAAGTCTGATACAGTCTTATCTTTCTGCTAGGATTCAGAAAGTAGTTATAAATGAAGCTGAGTCTACAGGAGCACCCATTTCTATGGGCGTGCCCCAGGGTTCAATATTGGGCCCATTGCTTTTCCTTATTTGAAATGAAATGAAATGAAAATATATTTATTGGAACTAATTAAGGTTACATGTATAATTAGGTTCGTTAATAGCTATATTAGTTTCTAGAACTGTGTTACAGCTATTAGCGCCCACCTCCAGATACAGAGACGTGTGTTCCATAATACATAAATAAAAATTACAGTTCATATCTTACCATTTACTTAAAGATAAAAATTATGTATGTGTGTGTGTTTGTATATATGTGTGTGTGTGTGTGAGTCTGTATATGCGTGTGTATCTGTATGTGCATGTGTGTATGTTTATGAGAGTGAGAGTGTCCGGTTGTACTAAAATGATAGTTACATGTGATTTCACATGTATATCCGTGTATTATTTGATGACCTTGAGTAAGCTCTCCGTTTCATCATATGAAAGGGAATGCAACCACTGCCTAGCAACCGTCTTACACTTATAAAGGGTAAGTGGATATATGTCAATGATTTTGCTGGTCCGGTTATATAACAAAGGAGCAATGTTTGAAAGGTGGCGACGAGACAATGTTAGCCTGCATCTACTAATATTGCAAACCCTACCACATCCACGCTTACTTCTGGCAGTTTCTGGGTCATATGGGAGGCGACGATGTGTGTACAGAATAGCATTGAGAATAAACATCTGCCTAACAGTCAAAACACCGGTGAGTGAATATAGTTCGACAGTTGGATATCTAAAAGGCTTTTGCATCATAACCTTTAGAACCGCTGTCTGGGCTCTTTCTAAACGCAGCAAAACACTTCCAGGAGATCCACCCCATACACCCAAGCAATAAGTAATTAATGACTGGGCAAGAGAGTAGTATATGACTTTTAACGTAGCAAAGTCAACCACATCTCTTAAGATTTTAAATACGTATGCGAGCTTTCTAACACGTGATGAAACTAGACATATGTGTTCCTTCCAAGATAGAGTTTCATCTAAAATAACTCCTAGATATTTAATTGAGGATGTAATTTCAATTTTAATACAGGAGCACGACTGTTTTGGAGTATTTGGGTTAGCGTTGCAAGTATGTGCTTGAATAACTATGGATTGAGATGGTAGGGATGATTTTGTTGGACCAAACGCAATGATTTTTGTTTTGCTTAAATTTAGGGTGAGTAGATTTCTGGTAAGCCAAAACATAACCGACTTTAAAGTTGATTCTGCACACTTCACAACTTCAACCCAAGATCGACCCTAAATCAGTAAAGCTGTGTCATCAGCATAAGTTAAAATTTTGGTGTTCGACAGCGAAAGTTCGCAGAGCTCATTGATGTAGATCAAGAATAATGTGGGACCCAAAACACTTCCCTGTGGAACACCAAACTCAATGAACTCATCATCACTCGTAAAACCATTGACAACAACACACTGCGTTCTATTTGTTAAATAACTGTCAAAAATCTGGAGTGTTTTCCCCCTTATACCAATAAAGTTAAGTTTATGCAGAAGAACAGGAATCGATACCGTATCAAAGGCTTTAGATAGGTCGAGGAATATTCCTAGCGTTTTAAACTTTTTTTCGAAGCCTTTAATCACTGATTCAGTAAGTTCTAAAACTGCATCTTCGGTACTTTTACCTGACCTAAATCCATATTGATTTTTTGATAAGATAGTGAAATTGTCTAGAAATAGTTGAAGCCTTTTATTAAGAATTTTCTCTAATATTTTGGAGAAGGTAGTCAGTATGGATATGGGTCTATAATTGCTAGTATCAACTTTGTCTCCACTTTTGTAAATTGGGCGAACGACTGCTTTTTTGAATACCTTGGGAAACACTCCATTGTGTAAAGAAAGATTGAAAACGTGAGTAAGAACAGGAACCAGTACATGTCTAGCAACTTTAACTAGACTGGCAGAGATCCCATCCCAACCCTCTACACAGTTGTTTTTGAGGCCAAGAATGATTTGCTCAATTTCATGGTCATCAGTTGCAAGTAGCGCCATCGAGTTTTGTTGAGTGATCACTCTGGAGGGACAGTTAGGGACATCATGAACAGTTGATCCATTGATCTGTAAAGCCAATTTTTTTCCAATGCTTGCAAAATATTTAATAATGGTGTTTACGGCTACAGTGGGGTTTTTATTTAAAGAAAGAAGTTCACAAGATGATGAATGGCTATTGTTAATAAATGCAATATTCTTTATAAGCTTCCAAGTAGTTTTTGGGTTCTTACTGTTTTTTTTAAACTCATTACATTCATAGTCTCGTTTAATTTTTTTTAACATATTGTTGCAAAAATTTCTGTATCTAATAGATGATATCTTGAGAATACTTTTAATTGGATCTTTTTTTGATCGAAGGCAAAGCCTATCGCGATGACGAATGCATCTTAATAGTCCTGGAGTAATCCAGGGATTAATTATCCTTTTTCTACTTGGTATAACGACAAATGATGAATTCCTAACAACCACTGAAGAAACTTTTTCAACCAGTTTGGACGCAGCGTCCTCGGCATTATTAGAGTTTAATACATCTGAGAAATCGAGATATTCGAGGTCACTTACACATGAATCGAGGCACAACCTTTTTACCTTTTGTGGAAAGGTGATATTTTTCAAGCACCTGCTCATATCGCAGCTGACCAGAAGAGGGGCATGATCCGTAATATACGCGTCTAAAAGTAATGTCGAGGCACGATTTTGGGTTTTAATGATGACATGATCAAGGCAGCTAGACAATCTCGTAGGCAAAGTGTGGGCAGGTAGTAAACCATGAGAAGACAAGACCTCTAAATACATATCTGATGATGGGTCAGAACTTTGTGTTGAAATATTAATATTTACATCTCCCAAAACCACTATGTTTATAAATTTATGCAAAGATTTCAGCGTTAAGTCTAAACTATTTAGGAAGTTTTCAACACGTCTATAAGAGGGGGAACGATATAAGGATACTATTGCTAATTCATTGTCAATTTTGGTGATTAAACAATTCCCATCAAGGAAAGATGGTTTTTCAAAGGTACGCGGGAAATTGTCGCTGACATACACTATCACTCCATCATTTTGGCTTTCATAATGTGATTCACAGAAAGTATAACCCGGCAGGACTGGAATATTAGGACACTTACTTAGCCAACACTCAGATAAGACTACGACATCTACCCGAGCATCAATACGATGTAAAAGAGTTACTAAATCATCAAAATTACGTGCAACACTTCTTATATTAGAATGAAAAATATTGATCGAATTTACGTCTTTGGATTTGGAAATAAAATTGGCAGTATTTTCTGGGGAGCATACAACACTAGTTGACAGAGATAGTTGGTCGATGTTGTCAGATATAATAGTATTTAAGTCCATTTATCCTTTGCTAGAAGTATAACAAATAATACAATTTAAATGAAACAAGATCATAAACAACAGAAAAAAAGACAAAAATATGATGTATTGTGTGGATGTTTTGGATCCCTCCACCTGAATTACAATTTACGATGATGGTTGCATATAATATTTTATGGACTCTTGATAAACTTATTATGTAGATTACTCTCACATGTATATAGGTTAAGTTGCATAGGTTGATGTGTGTGTGTATCATATCGGAGTAGTATGATTTAATTGTAATTATGGATAAATGTAGATTGTAGTGTTTGTGTGAAAGAGTATTAACTAAGATTAGCAAGTGACAACAGAATATTGAGGTACGTAAGTTATATATATAAAGAGTGACACAATAGCAACAGAAAGTAGCAAAATTATCATTTTTATAATTAATTACTAGTCATTTGGTTTCCAATATCTTATCTAGGTCAGCCTCAGAGTTGATCCGAATATGAGCAGCTCCCTCTTGTTTGCGAAGGTACACGTTGCCATTTGCGGTCCAGCAATAGTTGTAATCGTTTGCCTTTGCAAACTCTCTTGAGAGATAAAAAAGTCTTTTAAGTTTTTGAGTTAAGGATTCGCTGATATATATAAAGTTAGGACTACCTTCCATATTAATATGTTGTGTATTAAGTTTCTCTGCTCCTTTAACCTTGTTAAACTTTTTTATTGCCGAAAGAAAATTATTTTTTAGGATAACGCTACCCAATTCCACAATTATTGGTCTGTGTTTATTTTCCGAATTGGAGTTGTTAATACGGTAAATATCTCTGATGTCTCTCATATCTAGGGTAATGTTTAAAGTTTTAGCTATTTTGACAAGGATTAAACATAGGTTATCTTTAGTTTCTTTATCACTTCTGGGGATATTTCGAATTTCCAGGTACGTAGCACGTGATTTTTTTTCCATAAAATCAATTTTATCCTCTAACGACATTATGTAATTTAAGTTGTTTTCTCGCTCTTTCTCGATTTTTTGTAGCTTAACCGTAATTTCATCATACTTCTTTGAGATAAATTCAATAGATTTAAAAATATCCGAGTTTTGCTCCTTGATGGAAGTTATAGACTCCTGCAGCACTCTTAACTGCTTATCCTGGTTATCAGTAAAGGTAGAAAACTGCAATCTCATTTCCGCCATAAAAGAGCGCATATCACTGTGGTCATGACCTTCAAATTTCCTTTTGTTGCGCTTTACTTTTTCTTCATGCAACTGAGCGAGCGCAGGTACCGATTCACAATGCCTCAGAGTCAGGTTAGACGACGTAAATTCCAGGGGAGAAGGCGATCGCGTAATGTATGGCGATTTTCCATTGTCACTATCTCCACAACTCGAGCTCGCAGTAGGCTCCAAAATAGTCTTTGATTTAGAGAGAGGTGGAGTGCGCTTGAGTGGCATATCAACAGATTACTCAGGACACTCTCTTTAGTATATTAAGAGATCAGAAGTTAGACGGAAATAAGCAGGTCGATTTTTGACGAATGTGTTGCAAAAAATAATTAAATATGAAGAACAAGCACGAGCACAGTGCACCAGGACATAAGCGCTGCAGAGTAAGTAGCAATCTCGATGCGATACTAAAATCCTACAACCTCAATTTTACAACAAGCAAAATATCTCAAAGCCGTGCACTCAGCGGTACTAGGGCGTCACAACATTCATAGAGGTATGATCCATAACCAAGCAATTTTATTGTGCGTACACGCAGTTTACAAGCAGAGGTCAACTAATTTGGTCACCGATCGATGATTTCATATAGATTTGCTTTCCGTCCAGTTAACACAGACCTCTCAGTGATAATGAGATATGCGAACGTCGTAGCAATATCGGTCTCTTTCTGTCGCACGGTTTATTGTCCGTTATTGATGATTGCGTATGCGTAGTTAGAGGATCTGCACTTACTTTGGCGGGTTCTTTCTTACGATTGATTGTCTCGGGGTAACTGGGCGGCGCTTGGCGACTTCCTCGCAGCTATGCTTTCCGAATTTATACACTGGTATTTTTGCATTTAATTTAGTATTTTTATTAATAATTTTTATAAAGAATTCCACTAAAAACACGTCTGTCAGGTATAGAGATCCAGAGGGAAGGGGATTTATATCAATGACCTTCCTCACTTTACAAGAGATTTGTGTGAGACAGTACTATTTGCTGATGACACCTCTTTATTGTTTAAAGCTAGAAGAGGAAATGATTGTTATGACGAAGTAAATTGTGCTCTCTCTGAAGTCCTTCACTGGTTTACGGTAAATAATTTAAAACTTAACTCCAGTAAAACAAAATGCGTTAAGTTTACTCTACCTAATGTGAGGCAGGTTAATACTAGTATAAAAATAAATGACCAGCCTGTAGAGTTAGTGGATTTTACAAAGTTTCTGGGTATTACTTTAGACTCTCGTCTGCAATGGGATCCTCATATTGATGCCTTGTCAAGTAGATTGAGCTCTGCAGCTTTCGCTGTTAAAAAGATAAGACTCTTAACTGATGTGGAAACGGCAAGATTAGTTTACTTTGGTTACTTTCACAGTGTTATGTCATATGGCCTTTTGTTGTGGGGCTCAGCCGCTAATATCGAAAGTATTTTCATACTGCAAAAGAGAGCTGTTCGCGCCATATACAATTTAAAGGCAAGAGAATCCCTTAGAGAAAAATTTAAAGAAATTAATATTTTAACACTGGCGTCGCAATACATTTATGAAAATTTAATATATGTAAGAAAAAACTATGATGAATTTGCAAAAAAAAGTCAAACCCATAACTTTAACACGAGATTTAAGAACAAGCTTGCCGTTCCATGTTTCAGACTCCAAAAATCAAGAGGTTCATTTCTGGGTTGTAGTATTGCATTGTTTAACAAAGTTCCCCAAGATCTGATTGAGCTTCCACTGACTAAATTTAAATCTCAGATCAAAAATACTCTTATGAATAAGGGCTATTATAAAGTTGATGATTATCTAAATGATCGTAATGCACGGACATAGTGTTTCTTATAATTTGATATTAAATGGGTGTTACTCATTTTTCATAACAGTAATATTGTACCTATCTAATGCCGCTTCCTATATACTACTTAAAATGTTAACTATAAAATTAATTGTAACTATTTATATTCTAGATGATGTAATGGAAAGTGACTTCAGACGTATTTCTGAAGTAATTTTTCAAATTGACGACATTTCATTTCATTTCATTTCATTTCATTTCATTTCATTTCATTTCATTTCATTTCATTTCATTCCATTTCATTCCATTTCATTCCATTTCATTCCATTCCATTCCATTCCATTCCATTCCATTCCATTCCATTCCATTCCATTCCATTCCATTTCATTTCATTTCAATAAAAACCGCCCTCGTTAGCTGGCACCGGCCCGGGTAGAAATCGGGTAGAAATCGTCTTAGGTTCGAAAGCATTAGTGACTCTACGATGGAGCAGAGACATCCCTGCGAAGTGATGCCCATCGCTTAAATGAAATTTAGCCATTTCCTAACCTGAAGTCCCATAAGATCACAAGATCTCGCCGTGTCAAGCCCGGTGACACCATAAAGTCATATGCGACAAAAACTTGTATTATACTTGCAAAGTATTTGGCACAAACTACCTTACCTACCTATATGCCAAATTTCAGCGAAATCCTTACAGCCGTTTTTTTTCGGTTTATGCAGGCAAACAATCTGACTGTCCACCTGTTGGTAAGTGGTTACTTCCACTAAAGGAAAGACTTACAAATATCCATATTTACAAACTTTCTTATTTTAATACCAGTAGGATAGGATGCGCATGAGTAAGAAGCTAGCCAATTCAACGTGCTTCTTTTAAACCCAGTCCGGCATAGCATTTGATAGGTCATAATCATAATAATATAATGACCGAATAAATTCCACTCACCCTGATATTTTAGAATGGATGTTAGCGGCTATAACATCAAGATCATACGCTGCATATATAAGGGCGCCGTAAAATGTTATGCATGTGACATGCTTCCAAGTAAAGGTTATGGTGTCGTGAAGATCCTAAGATGATGTCTCTCTCGAATGTTCATTTGGCTTAGTGGGTAATAATAAACGTAAGTACGTCAGGATTGAGGAGGCGTTCTAAGGCCCGTATTATAGAACGCGGCTCAAGCAGCATTCAAACTCGAATCACGCAAAGCTAGTTTTAAGTGAAGATCACTACTTGATTGCTCAGCATATTATAGGTCGCTTTTTAAGAGCAAATCAGCTTAAAATAGAAACGAAAATCGTCTTGAACTCCGATCAATTTTTTCTATGGGCTAAGTATGTTTTCAATTACACTTAGAAAATAAACCACATAGCGATATGTCAAATACTTTATTTGGGACTATAATAAATATTCTCTTCTTAAGAACTATTTTTTAAACTAGATTTCTCACTAGAAATGTTCTATAAATACGGGCCTAAGAACTTTTTCAACTATATCGGCTGAGTTCCTACTAAATAAAGGTGTAGCCTTCCTTAAAGACTGGTAGGGAATAGAAGATTTTCCACTCGAATTTTGTCGCCTGGTTAAAGGAGTAAGTTTTACATTACATGAGAACTGGTTCCAGGTCTTCAGGCATTGCTGCAAGTAATATTTTTGTGTTTCAAGAATATGGCAGCTTCTTAAAATCAGGCGAAACATATGCTTGTTTGCCACCCTTTTAACAAATATTCGCATGCACGAAGCACACAAATGAAGTGAAACTTCTTTTCTTAAATAACCTAACATTAGGCGGTGCATAAGGCATAGGGGAATGGAGCAGCGCACGCATTACTCATATATATGTATATATCAGAGAGCGACTATTCTCTTTGTCATTAGCGTTCACGGGCTTAGTGGGCGTCATCGGGGCTTCATACAGGCACAAAACAATACAATCACTCAATCACTGTTCGTACAATTTTAATTGCGTTCTTTTAACAAATCAAAATACAAATGTTTCAAACACACTATAATTTAATAAGTACGCTTAAATAACGTAAATTTAATATACGTAAGCTACTCGGTAGCGGGTTCGAAGTACCAATCTAACTTCACTGAACTACTGTATCATCTTTCTAGTAATGAAATGCTACGGTATGTTTTTTGTTCCCTCCCAGGCGGTGGAGCGGGTGAGAAATCCTCATGGATACCCTACAGCCGGCTGCAAGGTTATGTCAGACTCGTACTGACTAAAAAACATCCGTAGGGGCTGCCTCTGGCCGGGTAGGCCACTGAGGCTTCATCGGAAGCGATCGTCCCCCAGGGGAGGGGAGCGAAGCAGCGCTGCTTTAGTTAGATACTAGAGCATATGCGCGAGAAGGACAGTACGGCCTCCTAGTGAGGCACGCCCGTATCGGACAGAAGAGCTACAGAGGGCCGCTCGTGCGTAGGGAGGGCAGGCAATGCCGGAAGGGCTTGCTGTAAGGGGCCTAACGGGGTGCGATCGCCGTTTATGCTAACTAACGGGGAAGCTTGTTTTAGAGCTAACGCGTGTCTGGATGTTGGCCCGAGCAACCAACGCTAAGTTTGATCGACGCCTTAGAGACTCGTGAGGCCCGCGCCGGCAAGAATCGGTTCCGAAACCGGCGCGAGTCTCACTTGCCACAAGACCAGCACTCTCACAGGCCAACCTAAGCGAAGCCTAATCGGTGGGGTTAAATTGCAACATGGTTGGTAATTCAACACTGTTAGCGTTTGCCCCACCTAAGTCTCCCCGCACGGGTGCTTAGAGAAGCGAGTTGATAGTATAGCCTAAGCTAAGTCTAAATTGAAAAAGCGGTGTCGCAATTGCCGTAGCCGCGTAGAGGGCACAAGCACTAAGTGTGCCTGCGTCCGCCCCGAGTCACAGCGATGAAAGGCTGGCACGCGTTCATTGGGCGCTGTCAGTTCCTCGCTTTTAAGTACGCGCAAAAACTACCTCCCCACCTGTGAAAATCAAGATGGCGCCTCGACCCCACTCGAGGCACTTGCTCTGCTCTAATTGGACGCGATATAAATTATTTATTTGTGACTTTTATTACATTGCTAAGTTACTAAACAATACAAAAAATTTAATTATCAAATTAAATTAAAATTTTATAAAATTATTTAAAATATTAACAATAGCCTTTTCATCAATCAATTCGACTCGTCACATCTTCCGACATATATATACATATATATTGTCGAGTGTGACGTTCGTAGCGTTACAGCCTTCGCCGAGTTACCTTCAACTTTCAAGCTCGTCGGGAAGAGCAGCACACGCATCCCACACACACACACTCACATAGACACGCACATATATATATGGTCGTGTGACGCTCGTGGAGCATTTCCGTTTCATCTTTTCTATAGGATTTTGCCATTTACACCCCGGCCGAAAATAAGTTTCACTTTAAAAAAACACTACTGCAATTTTATTTTAGTTTACAAGTAGCATACAAGAAAATAAATTACTTTTTATTTTCATTCACTATATTTGTAAAAACTACACTATTACTACTTAGTTTATTAATTTTGACTAAATTTATTTATAATCTAGACCAAGTTTGTGTTAATTGCAAGGCATTCTGTTTTTATTTTGTTAATTTTGTATATGTTTTCATTTTCACACACTGCTTGATTCAAAGCTCCACTACATATTTGTATAAAAATAAGTCAACTGTTACTGTCCTTTCTGTGACTGCAATTCAAACTACTGGTACACAGAGCTAAAATCTAAGAACTTTATGATTGGACTCTTTAATGCGGGGTCTCTCGGCACGGGACATGACGAGTTGGTTGTGGCAATGGATGAATTAGACCTAGATATTTTGGCTATTAATGAAACCTGGTTGAGGGCTGGGGAGGACGATAGGGCGCCGAGGCTTGCGGGTTATCGG